CATGTGATACTTATGCTTTTAATTAAAAAGTTAATTTTATGTTTTTATACTCTTGCTACCACAGGAATATATGAATTCGTGATAAGAATATATGATAATAAAATATAGAGATAAAAGAAATATATTCGCCTTGGAAGATAGAAAGCGAGTAAGAATAAATGCCGAACAAAGAAATTTGTCTTCTTCAACTTAAATAAATGCATTTTGCAAACAAAAGTGCGTACGTTACTTAGTGCCTTGGTAATGGCGAATTCGTTAGGATCTATTGATTGCATTATAAACATTTTCATTTATTTGTTAAACATACAATTACTTCCATTACAACCCGGTCCTATGGATGCTAGAAGCGCGAATTCATATAAGGTGGTGTTACCGGAAAATGAATAAATAAATTATATGTATGTCAAATTAATAAGATGAAATGAAATTATTGTTTGATTTCTAACCAAACCAATGTATGTAACTCAATCGCCGAACCGTAAACATATGTTTACACATCCAATTTCGTGTGTAGGTACCTGGTACTCACACCTTTTTTAAGAAGTTTCACTTCTATCATGTGTACGGTGTTACACACGCATTTTTTTTTTAATTTGATCGCCATATCGGATCCGCCATTTTGAATTAAAAAAAATTGACTTCAGATTCGTAATCGGCGACCCCAAAAACTCTCGAGTGCCGGGTTTCGAACAAATCCAATCATTTAAAAAAAATGGACCGCCGTTTTGGATCCGCCATTTTGAATTTCGAAAAACTGACTTCAGATTCCTAATTAGCAACTCCAGAAACCCCCTGGTAACAAGTTCCAACTCATGACAATGCGTAAATCGTTCAGTATCAACGTTTTAATTTTACTAGTGTCTTTTCGAGAGCATATTTTCGGGAACTAGACCCATTCTAATTGTCCAAGACAGGTGTGTAATTAAGGGAAAGTTCCCCAATAATACCAGAGTAATTATATGTAAAAACCACAGTTTTAGCTGCATTTTAACATGTCAAGAAAATAAATAATTCAGAACATCAGCGTTTTCATAAAAAACCGACCAGCGCGACTTCTAAGAAAATTTTTTTTCAAAATAAAAAATACGTGTTTCTTTTTTATCACAAATAACAATATTCTGATGTAGCGTTTATGAATTTCCAAAAAGAGTGTTTTTATGAACCACTCTAATGTACATATGTATTGATAATCTCAAATTTATACCGAGTTATCAAGAAACGCGTTCTTTTTTCGAACAAAACTAGATCTGCGATAAAGTAAGACGCGAGCCGGCATTCGAGATCGAAATAGTCGTGATTTTGGCAGTGTGATGGAAATCAATTTCAAGGCGAAATGCCGCGCACATCAACTGCCAACATATTCTTCACAACTAAGATGAGATGCATTTAATTTCACTGGCTACGTGAAAACATACAGGTATGTGCACCTTATTCAAATTAAACTACATATGTTTAATGGTTTAGGCTCTTTGAATATCCCCTTATTCAATTTTAACGCAAATGGCCAGAGTTTTATAGTTATTACAGGGAATTTAAATGAGGCGATTTTACAGGCAACTTTAAGTTGAATGCAGCAGTACGTTGAAATTAAAAGAAAATGTTGGGAAATCGTTATGGTCGTCAATCATTTGATCTAACTTGTGGCAGTAAACACCGCAGTCTTATGGGTGATGCTAATCACATTGACTTCTGACGCGTTTTGAAATGGATCTGAGCTATTCAATAGTTTTATGTGTATTAGAATAAGCACTAGATTGTGGATTTGGGAAATTTTGAATCACAAGCATATATGTGTAGATGGGAGCTGGTTGGCTTTCGTAAAGAAGATGTGGAATTAAGAAATGAATATTAATGAAAAGCCCTACGCGCTCAACACATTCCTATTAAATTTAGCATTGAAGATAAAACTGTCAAACAAGTTGCAGTAGGACGGACATACACACGCAATTATGTATGTCCAGATATACACAGCTTAAATTGACTATTATGATCCTATGACTTCACCAATCTCGCTTGATGCAGCAGTGCTGTTTTTGTTTCGGTACGATTTACATAGATCTTACGATGGTCGGTTCGATATTACCAGATCGTCCAGGGTAAACTCGGGTTAAGAACCATCACATAAATACGCAAATCTTTATTGAGCATTATTTGAAAATTCACTCCAGGTACACATAACCTGATTGGAATGAATTCTGAATTGTTGGTTGGGGATTTTTATTTTATTTTTATTCGGTTCTACAGAACTGGAAGAGGATATTTTTGTAGCAGGGTCTTGTAACCTGTTTGCTTTATGATCGAAGTGTTGTTGCCCTGTACATTGGTGTTGGGTATGGGGTGCACTTGTTAAGATTCTGCTGCGCCAACACCTTCGTTTTCTCTAGTTCAAGTAGGACGTGATATTTGGTGGTGTTTTTGCGTCTAGATTCGGAAAGTAGGTTCGTACCACCATGTGCGCCTCTTCGATTTGGGGACTTATTATGAAGGGTAGCTTCAGCCCCTGCCCAGCTCAAAGAATTGGACACTAAGATTGGCCGTGGTTTTGGAGTTTTTATACAAAACTGTTTCCCTCCCTTGAGAGTTTTGATTTTAGGGTCGCATTCTGAGGACATAATTCGGTTATTTACAGAGACCGTATTAAAGAGAGATAATCTCTTAGTGCGTGGGGATATCGGCTCTGTCCGGCCAGTTATGATCGAGATGAAGACGGTTTCTTGAGCGAGTAAGTTCCCCATTACCCTCTTTTCGGTGCCACTCAATATTATCTGGGCATAAATGTCGCCGCCCAGGGCAAGATCAACTTGTTCATTTTTGAAGAAGTTCTTGTCCGCTAATAGTAGGTCCGGTAACGTTTGATTAGTTTTAGCGTTGACTTCGCAAGTTGGTAAATTTCCGGTGACTTGTGGTAAAACTAGAACATTGGTATTTATATTGACTAAGGGGTAAATAGGTGACCGCAACAAGTCACTTTAACTTTAGCTGAGACCATGTTATTGATACCTGATACTTGGGCTTGTATCCTTTTTGTGGGCAGATTAATCCTACGCTTAAGCCTTTCAGCCATAAAAGAGCACTCTGTACCGGAATCTATAAGCGCGCGTGTCGAAAAAGTAGCATTATTAAAAAATATGTTCACACGCGCGGTTCCTAATAAAATCTCTTTATTCGTATTAGCGAAACAAGATTTAACATTGCTCTTGCTCTCGCAGAAGTGGACGCAAAGTTATCCATGGGGTCTAATTGGTTCGTTTGAACGGCTGAGAACGGTGCGCCTGTCTGCCTATGGCAAATGCTAAAATTGTAAGAGCTAGTGCACCTCGACACGGTATGTCTTGAAGATAGTCAGGTAACGCAACTGTTGTTCTTCACGAACGCTATCCTATGGGATGACGAAAGCTTGTGGAACTTCTGGCAATTTTTTAATTTCTGCTCATTACATTCACACAATTTGCATACAACCTTCGTCATACATACTTTGAAGGATTTAAATTTTTTCTGCGAAGTTTCATAAGGATGTTTAACATTATGTTGCTTAAAAATTCTGGAATGGATAGCACCTTTTATATCTGACACGGTTTCAAGTGTTTGGAACCTGTTAGAGAGAAATTTGTCCATATCATGCCATATCCGTTTTATCCTCTATTGTTTGCTCCCAAAATGCTAAAGTGCTCTCAGGTAATTTAGTCGAGCAGAGGTATGTGATAATTGCATCCCAGTTTGAGATGACAATTTGATGATATTTTAAGGACGCGATGCAATTATTTATATCTCGGTGCAATTTTTTAATGAAACTGCAGCACTCATTCTCTATCGCCTGTAGATTAAACAGAATCTTTAACTGAGTGTTCACCAAAATGCGCTTATTTTCATATCTATCGCTCAAGTTTTTCCGCGCTATGAAGGAGCCTTCATTAGTGAGTGAGCATTTTTGAACGATTTCTTTGGCCACGCCCTGGGTTTTTTGGTTGAGGTGGAATAATTTTTCAGACGGGGTAAGGCGCTTATTCAAGATGTAGATGGCCGTGAACATATCTCGGAATGTTGGCCAAGAAAGATAGTCGCCCGTGAACACTTCTTTATCGCAAGGGGTTAGGTGGATATTGTGTTCCCGATCGGACTGATCCTCCACATCTCTTTCACTCTTAACTAAATGTTCGTGAAGATCTGCCAGCGTAACAGCTTTTATATTTAGCTTTCGTGGCAGATACTGCTTTAGCTTCTGACTTATGTGAATTTAAATACTCATCGTAAGCTAACTTTACCTTACGCCACATAGCTTTTAGTTCCCCTTGTTGAATAGCAAGAGTATATTTGGTATGGTCTGTCAGGGGAACGCTATTGTAATCTGATTTGAACTCAGTTACTGCGTCTGCCAGCCGAATATAGGTATCCATATATTATTTAATGAAATAAAGAAAAGCCAATACGAAATGACCTTTAAAAACTTTTCGAAATTACCAAGCAGAGCAAAAAAATACCACCACAATCCAAAGAGGCAACACAAGAATTTAAGTGCAATTGTACACGTATCAAATTATTTATTTGTTTTACTATGTATGTATATGTATGTATTTGCAGCTTCTATATTTACAGGCAATTCAAACTCGCCACCCAAATCACCAGTGTTCAACTTTAATATAAGAAATAAATGAATCCGAAAATAATTGCAACGCGTTAGAGGTGATTTTGTGTACCCGGTATTCCTGTGATAAAGGTGATTAATATTTGTGAAAGAAGGTATGGAGCCAAACAGTGCAACCAAGAGTGCAAATCAAAGGTGCGTGCGTGCACTTAGCTGTTTAACACATATGTACGTTCGTATGTACACTGTTCACTGTATATTGAATCACGACACCGAACAAATATACACAGGATTAATTACATAATTAGACGTTGTCCATAAAATCATTCGTGGGTTTTTATCTAACGTGGTATTTTCACGTGTGTGTTATATATACGTATGTGTATGTGCAATGGAAATGTCAACCACGTACATACCTTGTTAGCTCCGGGTCTGATGAACCGTGTGGTAAGGTGCTCTGTTGTATGATTGATAGTGGCAGCAAGTGTGTTGGTGAGCTCCTGCTATTGTGGCAAGGTGATATATTTTAGGCGTGTGGCTGTGTGTTGGTTCTCCGGTTGTGCTGTCAGTGTTCTGTTATGGAAAAAGTTCTCCGGTGGAGGTGACTGTATTTAGAATATTTCGTCGGTTATTTTTGCTCCCGGCGAAAATGGACCATGTGCAAAGTTGCAAGATAATGTGTGCTTGATAGCTTAGCGCTCGCAGTATTTGCACCAATGCGCAATGAAATAAATCAAAAAAATTAAAATGAAACAAATTAGTGTTTCGTAAAAATATAAATGGTTTATTATACAGTTGATAAATTCACTAGGTATGCCTTTACAGTACATTGGAATATTACCTTAAACCATTCTGGTGGGATGTGATGGCTGGCGTCGCTCGTCGATGATCTTCAGAAAAGAAGTGCCCCGATGATCTCAGTAAATTAAACTCAAACTCCATACAGTAACTATTAGAAGGGGAAACTTAACGATGGTAAATTTGGCGGGAAACGTCTATCAGATTTCTGATTATTTCCTAATACATACATTTGCATACATGTGTGCGTATATAAATAAGCATTAGGGGGGTCCGTCTTGTATTGTTTGGTTTAGGCTACAGGCCTAAACAATGCTTAATGTTCAATTTTAAGATTTCTTAACACTCGTTCGTTTGATACCTATATTTTAAAATTTCATGTAACTTATGTATAATTAAACTAAATGCAACTTTCAAAAGAGGCGGCAACTCTCTTATAAATTATTTTCGAACTAAAATTTCCTTAAATATTTTTCGTCTTTCGTTAATATATAAATACTTAACGTAACTGATAAATTAAGTTGAAATTTAATTAAACACGTGGCAACCCTCCTAAATATAGTTGTGATATAAAGGATTTTAAACTCATTTCCATTGACAACCATCGTTTAGTAATTCATTAAATTAATTTGTTAAATAATTTTAATTTAACCTTTTAAAGTGGGGCAACCCTCAAACACATAAAAAATATTCTATTGTCAAACTAATTATTTCTTAAATCTATTTCATTTGACATCCATTTTTAATATTTCATATAATGTGGGTATGAAATAATTTAATTCGACTTCTCGAATAGATGACAACCCTCTTCAAAACATTTCCAAACTACTACCTTCTTAAACCTCTTTTGTCTGACACCCATATAGTGATACCTTATTCACTTAACAAATGCCTTTAACTAAATTTTTTAGATTTTAAATTTTTAAACATGTGGCAACCCTCCTACACAAGTTGAGATATTAAGCCTTTTCAAACCCATTTCGATTGATACCCATATTGTAACAATTGATTTAACTTCTTGAATAATTTGAACTTATTTTCTTAACAGGTGGCAACTCTTTTCGAAAAAGTAAAACCTTATGAATATCCACACCGAAAGCCTTTTAATTTCACACCACACTTTTGAAAATCGAACGAATGGTGCAGATCTGAGGGCATTGATTATTAATTATTGAGTTTAATTAATTAACAGGTGGCAACTCTTTTCGAAAAAAGTAAAACCTTACTGCACATCTACTGCCCAAGCTCTTTAATTTGACACCTAATTTTTTAAAATCGAACGAACCGTGCAGATCTGATGACCTGGATAAAAAAATCCCTTCGCGTATTATATATATAGCTGATCACAAAAGAGCATTACTAAAACATGCTTTCTTTACATATTGAGGAAAATAAAGTTAAAAAGAACTAAAGATATTTATTTACAATTTTAATAACCGCGAAAAAGATGTAAGCGACAATATTACCTATTTTCACTTTTTGACAGATATCGATAGTTTATAGTCATACTCATCATCTGTGAAAATGTTGTAGCTACGGAAAGTTCCGTTACGAAGTTAAGGTGAAAGAAATTTTAATATAAGCGCCAACTCCGTTTTGTTTACTTTTTGTTTGATACCGGCATGCCGCTTACATTAAAATTTTCTATTTAAAATTTACCCTGTTTGCACAAAATATTCATAATTAAGAAGTATTCAAATGTTGTAACGCACAAAAAGGAAACTTGTGCATATACAGTGACTCAAACAAGTGACCACGTGTTGATTTTTTGTAAGCATTCGCCATGTTTTTCAACTTAATTTTGAAATGAAAACTTCTTTAGCGGCGGGAGTAATTTGAAACTCGATGAAACGAAAAACGAGACAGCAAAAACAATACATACATATTTGTTCATAGAATTCAAGCGAAGTATCGAGGTTAAATTCAGGAGATTTCGTTTTTGTTTTATTAGCTTTGTAATGATTGATACTGTATTTCAAAGATATATTCATCCCATCTAAACTAAAGTATTTATTTCATATTTTAGTTACCATAAGCCACTCGTCTCCTTTCTGGAAATTTGAGCATGAGTCTAATAAGAACAAGATGAAAATTAAAAAATTTAAAACGAAAAATTATAAAACCTTATCAACTTCGTACCAATATTATAACAAACAAACGCATTGGCCTCACTCTCCCGTATTTTAATTTTATGAG